TTGGCCCATCATATAACGTTTCGGGCAGGTACTCCCTCCCTGGTGTTATCTACCATTGGGTTCACAGGTCGAAATGTCATCCTCTCGGGCGGGAACAGACAAGTTTTTTTCTGATAGTCACACGCTTGCTGACTGTACTCAGAAAGGCAGTTGCCTAGGGCTTTTGGAGGCTCTGGGCCCAGGTTGAGCAAGCTCTGGGCCCTCAACCTCAGCAGCCTCTTCTCTCTGCCCTGTGCACCGGGTATGGAAGCTAACATCCAGCAGGTGGCGCTGTAGAGCCTGCGATGGTGGGCCAGCTGGGCGGAGCCTGGGACGGAGGGGCGGCCAGGGCGTGGCTCACCTCTCTCAGAGGAGCCGACTAAACAGGCAACTTCCTGTCCCTTGGACGTGTTCCCTGACTCCAAACTTCTGGGCGGCTTTAGTTCCCACCGACAACTTCCCTGGCTCCTTCGAACTTTCCCCTAGATCCCCTTTCCTTTCCACGGAGAGTTCAGCAATCAGCGGAATGTCTCCTCCTCTTTGGCCAACCGCTCCTTATCCCCGCCCTCAACCTAGCAAACCAGCGGGTGAGCTGGAGACTACTAGCCTCCTGGTTCTCTGTAGCCCCCTTAGAACCGCAAAAGCAAGCTCCGGGATATGGCCAACCCCTCAACAGGCCCCGGATCTGATGCTCCTCTCCATGGCTTTAGCGACACTTTCATGCACCGCCGCTTTCAGCCTTGAAATGAGACAACAATCGAGGCATTTACATTTGCCTGCAGTTTGAGCCCAAGCTCCTGGAGGAATGACCCTGAGCTTGGGAGGAGCATGCACCCAGGGGCATAATGGTGCAGTTGTTAGACCCCCTGATAGTGGAAACTGCCACTGTAAGGGGGGGGGGTCCACAGAGCCAGGCCTGCCCCCTTCTGAATCTAGCAGGCCCAAACATTTGCTGACTCTCTAATAGTGGTGCTGGATCCCTTGAACATACTCAACTCTTCGAAAACACGTCAAAAACCGACTTTATAAAATGCCCAACAGATGTCTTGGTTATCAGACCAGATTATGAAAGGTGCAACTTATTGCCCAATTCACCTTTCCTCTACTTTATATCATAGGATCTAGACATTATCTTCTCTAGAAGCTAATAGTGTGCTGTGTACACCACCAGAAAAGAACTATCCAGGCAAGATTGACAATAACTGCAGGCTTCTGACCTTGACACAGTAAAGTAACTCTTACTTTACTCTTCATAAAGGCTCATCTATCCGGAACTTGGCAAATTGAGTGCCAGCCGGCAAATAGGATCAGGCTCTCAAGCAAGGTGCACCTATGTAGTGAGTGGTATCAGTTCTGCCCTACCCAAGACAGCAAAGGGCCAAAGAACGTTTAAGAGGCCACCAGACAAGATGAAGAGCTTCAGTGTCAGTAATGATTCCAGCCCTGATCTTATAACTCGGCAATGGTCTCCACCTAATATGTGGCTAAAAGACCCCAATACACAAGAAAATATTAAAGTGCTGCTGATTTTTCTAATTCTCCTCTCCAAGCCTTTGCTCAGATTGTGCCCTCAATCCAAGCATCATTCCCTGACATCTATTTATACTTAAGCATGCACCATTCATCACCCCTCCCAGGCCATCTGTTCAAGTCATCCAGGTGCCCTTGCCCACCCCTTTGAGCTCCTACAGCATTTGGGGCCTAGCTGAATACTGCTAATCACAACATGGCTTCTCTACCCTACTGACCTGTCTGACTTCTGAACTGTTAAGTTCCTTTTTGTTGTTTCGAGACAAGGTGTCACCTGTGTAGCCCAGGCTGGCCTCAACCCTGCCCCACACACCTCTGTCCTTCAGAAAAGTGGGATTACAGGCATGCATTCTCACACCTTGCTTGCTGTTTGGGCACAGGGTCTCACCATATACCCCTGGCTGACCTAGAATTCACAGCAATCCTTTCAGTGCTTCACTCCCCCATGCTGGGCTTATAGGCATGTGCCACCATGTATACTTGCCTTTTTATTGCAAATTTCAAGTAGAGGATGGATCCGAAATTAGAAACACTGTGGGGTATTTGAGGTGACCTTGTGGGGAGAAGAACAGCAGTAATGCAGATCAGTGGTGTACCTCTAAAAGGATGATGTTTATCTGGGAAAACTCAGGTGGAAGCAAGATTTTGAGGCTTAAATTTACTCCTGGGGAATGGCTGGACTCTAGGAAGACAGACACATCATTCCCCTGGTCCACCCACTCAATCCACAATGAGAGGCCCAAAGATACACAGCTTAAAAGTTTATAGGAGTCAGGCATGGTAGCATATGCCTTTAATACCACCACTTGGGAGGCAGATCTCAGAGTTCAAGGCCAGCCTGGGTCTATAAAGTTGAGTTCCAAGATCTAAATCCTCACAGTTTCCTCTCAAACAGTAGCAGACACATTCTAGGGCTTGCAGACAGATTTCTTCCTTCTACCATTGTTTATCAAAAAGTGGGAGGAGTAATTGTAAAACAAGGGACAGGTGTCTTGCCTTACAGTTAGGTCATTGAAAACTAGTAACCATGGACAGCCAGCACCTCGAAGGTCAGCAGGTAAAGCACTGGTACAATAGTGAGGGTGCTGGCAAGGGTAAGGGCAGAGTGGGGAATTACACAGCACATCTAGGTGGATAGTCCTGGCATGGAGAGGAATCAGCAGGCAGATAGATGATTTCTGGCTGTATTAGAGAGGACCACACCACTGACCCGGCAGCCAAAGGGGCCCCTCCTCTATTCCTGTTACTACAGTTGCAAACAAGGAATGCCCTTTCCACATTTCTAAGTCAAAGCAACCCCAAGTTGGACTATTTTCCCTCAGGTTGCCAGGACTGCAGGGACATGCTTCTGCCTTTCCTTTCCACAGTCCCACCCAACCCAATGACCCAAAGCTCTATTATGACTCCCTTTCACCCATTGTATATCTAGGGACCACTTAACTCCCCAAAAGCCACAAATGGGAAAAGTGAGAACAGGAAACAAAGGCCCTGACACAGGTTTTTCAGTATGCAAGTGTTTTTGACTCCACAGCCAGTTGCTTAAAACGGAAAAAAAAGGGCAACCAAAAAAAAAAACAAAAAGAAAAAAAAAAAAAAAAGGCAAACACTAAACAAAATAAACCACACAGTATCATAAATCTCAAAAAACCAAAGAAAATTGAAATCCAACCCCCCTCAACTTTATATATATATATGTATATATGTATGTATACATATATACATATATATATATATATATATATATATATATATATAAATTTTGTTGTTAAAAAGAGAAAACAGTTGTTCAAAACCAATTGGGTAGGATAATGGGGCTGTCCTACAGAAGGGGGCCCAAAAGTTCCCCTGGGAACAAAAAACAACACAGCTAAAAGAAATAATGCTCCTGAATGGGCCAGGAGCCTCCAGAAAACAGACTGTCCCATCCCCAAATTGGCTTTTTTTTTCCTTTTTTTTTTTTTTTTGGTCTTTTTTTTTCATTTTCTTCTTTTGTTGTTGTTTAGCACCTGTACAATAAAACTGTACCATCTCCATCCAGAGCCAACCAGAGCAAGGCCCTCCTGCCTTTGGATGGTACATACTTTCTACAAGGATCGTTCGGAAAAATAGCAATCGGTAGAAAAATAAGAAGAGTGGGAAAGACAATGCCACGAAGGGCAGAGGCCAGGGAAACAACCCAAGCTGCTCTTCCTCCCTCCCTCTCTTCTGTAACAGATCTAACACTGGGCATCTGAAGGCCCACAAGCCACTCACTCAGCTATAAGTCCCCAAGTGGGTGGGGAACCAGGCTAGAGACTGGTCCCTCCTCTTGCCCAGTTAGTCCCAGGGCCCTTTACAGACTCCAAAAATGAGGAGCAGGTGGAGGAGAGAGGGGTAAAGAGTGCTGGATGTCCATGTAGGGATGGCAAGGCAAAGGCTGGGAGATGAAAGGCTCAGTATCTCAAGATGGGGAGCCCAGGGATGGTTGGGTGAGCCAAATAGGGGAGGGGTGCAGGGCAAAAGCTGCCAGAACAACTTCATACTGTGCACTCTGAGTGGAACAGTGAGGGAGGCAGCCTTACCGCAGGCCTATTCTCAACCTGCCTTTACTAGATTAACTCAGGAGCCCCTCTCCCCAGTAAACACTAATCTCAAGATGGCAGAGCTGTTACAAAGGGCAGGGGTGGGGCAAACTGACAGGGGGTGGGGGAGCACCAAAGGCCAGGGATTTGCCCCCAGCCCCCCAGCTCTGGGCCAGCAGCAGTCAGGATGTTCAGTCTTATGATGATGCCCCCCCCATCCTTCCTCACCCTGCTCCCTCCCCAAGTGGAGAAAGACAACCTGGGAATAATGTTCTTAGAGGGAGGGAACATCCCCAAAGCTTATCCGGAAAGAAAAAGGAAAGGAGGTAAAGTCCCTCAATACAACAAGTTGTCTCAAAATCATCACAGTGATACAGACTTTCAGAAACCAATGAAACAATACAAATTAAATACTAATAAAATAAATACTATGGAAGACAGAAGAGCACAGGGAGACAGAGAGGGGCACTCAGAGATTTGGGCTTTTCTCATTTCTCCTTAGGACAGGCCACAGCCAATCAGGCCCATGTTTGGTCTTGGTCATAAGCACAGTCCAAACAGGGACCCTGGTGGCCACCTCCGACCATCTCTAGACCTCTTGTCTTCAGAAGTGGAGTTCAACTTTCCACCCCCATCACCAACCACAACAGGAAGATGAGAACTAACTGTAACCCAAAACAGACAAAAAAAGTTCCAGTCACTAATGCTGGCATTGATAAGGCGGCTTCTTGTTGGTCCGTATTATTGCCTCATTCTGCAGTCTGGTGCTCGGTGGGGGAGACATGGGCAGTGGGGGAAGGGTGAACTCGAAGGAGAAAGAAGAATGGGAAGGGGCTGTTTCCGTCAACTGTTCCAGGACTGGTATTCCACCTCAGACCCTAGGAGCCGCAGCAGCTCTGGCTCATACTGCACCAGCTCCACAGTCTCAGAAGCGCCTGGGGGAGATCTGTCCTCCATGCTCCCAGGCCTCTCAGCAGGGGTGAGCAGCTGACTTGAGGCCACCTGACGGCAGAACTCAGCCTTGGGCAGGGTGGTGATTTCAAGGTGCGGGAACCGGGCCTGAAAGATTCTTGAGGACAGCTTCAGCCTCTTCAGGACATCGGTGAAGAGGAACCAGTTGCAGGGTCTGGAAAGGCAAAGATGAAGTTAGGGAAGCAGGCTCAGGAGGATGCGTTGGGCGGACGCATGAGGCTCCAGAAGTACTACAGAAAGCCAGGAGACCAAGTGACTCCCACAGTCCAACCCCCCACCCCATACCTCCTATTGAGACTTATTGTAACCTCCCATAAGACCACAAGTTTCTGGAGTACAGCTGGGATAACACAATATATGCCCTGGCTTCTAGCTCTTCCACAAAGGGCAAGCCCAGGGAAAAACGGGCCTCTTAAGGCTTTCCCTGGGACTTAGCCTACCATCCCATGGCCTGCCATTTACTATCTGCTCAGGCCACATCTTCCTGACCCCTACTCCAGACATCCCTAGTAGAGGTGGAGCTGTGGAGAAAGGCCTAAACTGTGGGTAATCCAAAAGGCATTTCTCTTTGGCTCTGGAATGCATTAGACAACTTTTTTTTCCCCTCTAGCAGCGGCAGCACCAATGTTTCTGCAGGCCCCGGGCTCACATTACAGCCAGTTTGCCCTTGTGCAACACATCTGAGACTGGGCAGCAGCCTAGGGACAGCTGGGAGGGGTGCTGCAGAAGCTGATCACCAGCCAAGCACTTCCATGGGCTTAAACCAGGAAGAAGGACTGTATTCTCCCCAGTTAGTGTTCCCAGTTTGCAGTTCTCCCCCCTAGCCACTCTCATTGTGTCATTTCCAACCTTTGCCACTTCTAGTCTGGGCTATACAGTACACCAGCCTTAGACTTGTTCTGTCTGTCTCTGTTGAATCCTTTCCCTTGATGAGGGAAGGGGTTAATAAAACTATTTTAATACAGGCTTAAGTACGTAGGTTAAAGAAAGAGGTGCTGAGCAGAAAGTAAGACAAAGAGTCCCTTGGATTCTCTTTTCTAAAAAGAAAATTTTGATCCTCTATTCCCCTCACTGAACAGATTTCAATGACTCTCCTATGCTTCCAGCAAAAATAACAAAAATAAACAAATAAAACTTGGGGTTCAATGGTTAGCTTTGATCTTCTAGAGTGCTCAAATTGAAGTGAGCACCCACATGAGGTAGCTTGTAACTACAACTCTAGCTCCAGGAAATCTGACACCTCTGGCGTCCTCAGGTACCCATACTTATGTGCCCATATCCACACGCAAATTTACACATATATACACAATTAAAAATAAAATAGCAGGAGGCATGGAGGCACCTGCCTTTAATTCTAGCCCTTGGGAGGCAGAGGCAGACAGATCTCTATGAATCCAAGTCCAGTCCGGTCAACAGAGTTAAGTTCCAGGTCACTGAGCAAGTTCTTCTTCTTCTTCTTCTTTAGAAAGATTTATTTATTTATTATGTATACAGTGCTCTTCCTTCAGGCCAGAAGAGGGCACCAGATCTCATTATAGATGGTTGTGAGCCACCAAGTGGTTATTGGGAATTGAACTTTTGACCTCTGCAAGAACAGCAAGTGCTCTTAACCTCTGAGCCATGTCTCTAGCCCACCCAGCAAGTTCTAATGGTTTAGTGTAATAGTAAGCCAGACTGCCCAAAGATAAGCCTAATTCAACTTCTTCAACTCCATCTCCAGCTTCCCCACATCTACTTGCCCACACTGCAGCCCCTGTCCTACCAGAAACAGATTTTTTTTAAATGTATATAGATGTTTTGCCTGATGTATGTCTGGTTTTTGTATACACCTGGTGCCTGCAGAAGATGTTGGATGTCCTATAACTGGAGTTACAGACAATTGTGGGCTACCATATAGGTGCTAGGAATTGAACAGAGGTCCTACAGGCCAGTGCTCTTAACCTCTGAGCTATCCTTTTTTTGAGAGAGAGGATCTCATGTAAGCTCACCTGTGACTCTCTCTGTAGACCAGGCTGGTCTCCAACTCACAAAGATCTGCCTGCCTCTGTCTCCTAGTGCTGAGATTAAAGGTGTGTACCACTATATCTGGCTTTCACTTTCTGAACTACCTGAGCCTGTCTATTACAGTGCTTTTGGCTCATGCCAGCCCTATGCCTCTCCTTTTTTTAGCCCAGCTCAGATGCCATTTCAAACCTACACAACCTCAAAGTAACTGATTTTTTCAGTACATCTTCTATGGCTACATGACAATGGGTTCTCAGCCCTATTATGATAGGTCCAACAGCCCATTTCCAAAAGGCTACAAAATCGACATAAAACTGGTCTTCTCTAGTGCCTAGGAATAGAGCTCAAGATAGAATTAACTTTTTATTTAAAAAAAATTATTTATTACTTATACAGCATTCTGCCTGCATGTGTGCCTGTGCACCGGAAGAGGGTACCAGATCTCACTATAGATGCTTGTGAACCACCATGTGGTTGCTGGGAATTGAACTCAAGACAGCCAATGTTCTTAACCTCTGAGCCAGCTCTGCAGCACCCCCAGACTGAACTTTTAATTTTTCATTTGACATTCTTTTTATAGTAACAAACCTGCTTAGGAATCTGGTCTTTTATTAAAGTTAACTGCATACTTATCAGTCTACTACACTCACTGACTTTTTTGGAAGGCCAGAGCTATCTGTGCTGTGGATCTCAAAGTTTGATCCAGTACATAAAACACGCTTATGAAATCAATCATTTCATGCAGTATCTAAAACACCTATCTAGCTGGGCATGGTGGTTCAAGTCTGAAATTACATCACTTGGGAGGCTAAGGCAGGTGGGCTGAGGTCAGCGTGGACTTCCTAATGAATTCTAGGCCAGCCAGGAATACGTAAAGATCTTGTATCAACAACAAAAAACACCCTCACCTATTTATACTCATAGTCATTTTCCCTAAAATTCAACATTTCTTCCATGTGATGGCAAAGCCTGCCAACATCATAAAATTAGGCAATGGAGTGCTCTAGGCTAAGAGAAAGTGACAATCAATACCATATACTTGTGGACTATCTCCTTCAAAGAATGTGAGGATAAAAGGGCCGGAGAGATGGTTCGACAGTTATAAGCACTCTTTGCTCTTCCAGGGGACCTGGGTTCAATTCCCATCATCCACATGGTGGCTCAGCTCACTGTATATAACTCCAATTCCAGGAAATCCAATGCCCTCTTCTGGCCTCTGCAGGCAACACACACACACACACACACACACACACTACACAAATAGGCAAATCACCCATACCCCCCTGGCTTACGGGGTGGCATGTGGCTCTTGGTTGCTCATGGTCTGTCTCTAGGTCCTTTTACTGCCTGTGGCCCAAGCTCATGTTTCAGACAAGGAGGTGCTGAATACTTGGAAGAATTCCCAGAGGCCCAGTCCTCTGGGATGAGTTTCTGCCCAGAAGGACAAGGAGGTTATGAACAAAAAGCTAAGTGATACGTGATACTGCATTAAAAAAAAAAAAAAAAAAAAAAAATATATATATATATATATATATATATATATATATATATATATGTGTGTATTTATATTCATATGTTTAAGGGTTTTCCTGCATGCAAGTATATGCACCACATATGTGATTGGAGGCCAGAAGAGGGCATGATCCCTTGGAAGTGGAGTTATATATGGTTGTAAGCTGCCATGTGGGTGCTGAGATTCAAATCTGGGCCCTCTCCAAGTGCTTTAAATCGATGACCCACCTCTCCAGTGTCTTTATGAAGCATTCTTATTAACCCACCTAGCACTTCCACATGCTGATGCATTGGAAAAGTCATCACAATGCATGGTCTTGAAAGCTGACAAACTCCCTTCTCAACGAAGAGTCAGTTGGGCTCAGTCTAATGCAAGGTATCATGTATACTCTAGCCTTCAAGGAATGGGTGTTCCCATGTAGTAGGCACAGTCATCTGACCCTGCAGTGCCAATCACCTTACTGATTCTAAGGCTACGAATGCCTATGCTGTGGACTGCTTACGAATCCTAATGGATCCCAAGCTATGACAACTATATGTCTTGGCTTTTCCTGGAGTCTCAATTGCAAATACTCTTTCTAGTTGTCCCCAGAAACCACAAAAAATGTTCCAGAGATTCTAATAGTTCATCATCCCAAATATTTCCTAGATTATCACCTATACACAGCAACAGTGCACAAAATTCTTCAGATTTGCAGGCCTGGAAATGCATCACGTTGATAGCCAAGGTATAGCTCTAGAGGTCTGTGAACCTTGAGTTTGGATATAAACTACATTCTGTCTGGACTGGAGGAGTTGAGCATCTTTCCTCTGCTCCAGCACTCATTCTCCAGACAGTCTTCACTTCCTTCTGGGGAGCTCCACCTACTCTAGGAGGTAGCCACCTGTGTTGCCAGGATACTGTCACACAATCCCTGTAGACTTCTCAGACACTTACCCACGGGACACTGACACTTGGAGGTTGTAACAAGGGAGAAGAGGCTTGTCTGAGAGTTCGAACATGAAGTCATCCTGTTCTGAATCATCTCCTTGCTCGGCACTCCCAGGAGGATTATGGAGAAGGTCACAGGCAAACCCATCTTTTTTCTCTGTAAGGTGAGTACACAGGGAATCAGCTACAAGCACAAAACTGAAAGGAAGAAAAAGCTCCAGCCAGATAAAGGAATATAAAGGGCCTGCTTAGGAGATGAATACAAGGCCACAGTTCCCTGGCTGGATTGACTATTGGGCCTGCATCCTCAAGAGGGCATATGAAAGTTTTAGTATTGGAAGGAAATGGGTTGTGGCCAGAAGTCCATTATCCTTCTCTACCCTCTGACTGTAAAAAGTAAAGTGCTCTGATGGATGGCAACTCAGTCGTTTCATATGAAAGACAGAAGACACTAGCAGCCATCAAGTGCTAAAGTAAAATAAAACAACTATCCTCTGATTATAGGTTCCCCAAGCCACCTCATGGCCTGATCCTGAAGTCCAGGGACTCAGAAGGTACCCCCCCCATCAATCATTTGGGTCTATTTCAGCCCAACCTTCTGCTTTTAATCTTCAGCCCCTGGCTCACTGGACAAATGCCCGATGATCACAGACAAAGGTTGCTGATCTTTCTACTGAATGATGCTTGGGCCAGAAGGTTAAGGGCTCAGGACAGCAGTAGTCTCAAAAACAAGGGCTGAACCCAGAATGGTGGCCCACACCTTTACACCTGTTCTTTGGAGGCAGAGGGATCTCTGTGAGTTTCAGGCCAGCCAGACTTACATAGTAACACCCTGTCTCAAAAAAACAAAGCAAAGGCAAAACCAAACCCAGAGAAGAAAATAAAACAAATGAATGAGGACTTCATCATAGGGGCAGAGTGAAAGATAATGAAAGTTGCCAGATTGACATCCTCTACAGTTTGAGCAGTACCAAAAGAGGTAACACTAGGATTTACAAAGCACCCAGGGTGGGGAGAGGTAGAAGGCAGAAGAGGATGACTTTATGCAAATCCTTGTGGCATCTCAGGCTTTAAATTAGTGCCTCTTGAGTCTGAGGGGGAAGGGCTGAAAGGGCCTGTAAAGCTACTACCATGTAGGAAAAGCAGCATCCACAGTGGGGTTCTTATCTCTGAGACATACCCCATGATTCTTTCCACTTAGAACTTACCCAACACAGAACTGCTGTAAAAATCCCAGGATGCACGAGGATCGCCCTCTGCTCTGCCCTGAAGATCTGAGAGGTGATCTGATGAAAATAGAGTAAGTGTGAGACAGTGAGGAAATCTCCAGGATTACCCATAGGAAAAGAGGTGGGAAAGAAGGACCAGGGGTGACAGGAAAGAGGTCCACTTCCTGTTCACAACAAATTGCAAGCAAGGAGAAGGCCCACATAGCCCACTGATATATGGCCTAGTTTTTACCAAAAGAAAAAAAAATAGCCACCAGCATTAGTATTTTAAAACAAGGGGATTTAAATTAAAATTAGATTTCCAACATTTTATGTAACAAAGATAAAACTTTGAAGATTTGGCAGCATTGTCTCTACATTCCTGTATGTCAAGAGTTGGTTGGAGGTAGCTGTGATATGTATAGTCTCCAGTCTCCACTGGGCCTTTTCTCTCTTTTATACATCAGCCTTAGGTGTGTAGCTTGGGGATCTCAGCTTCAAAGAGCACAGGGCATTTCTCTATAGGCAGAACCCTATAGCTAAGTAGCTATGGGAGTAGCTCAGTCACAGAATGCGTGCTTAGCATGTGCAAAATTCTAAGTTTAATTTATAGCTCAAAAAATACATAAATATCCATAAAGCTAGGCATGGCAGCACATGCACGCGTGCACACGCGCACACGAACACACACAGGAACACACACAGGAACACACAGTCCTTACTACTCAGCAGGCTGAGGCATGAGAATTGAGTTTGAGGCCAGCTTGGGCCACTAGGAGAAACCCTGTCTCAGCAAAACGAAAGAAAACCAAATAACAAAATCCCTTTTGCTTCTACCCAAAAGAGCTCAAGGCAAGGTGCTAGAGAATGGCTTAACAGGTAACAGTGCCTGCTGCACATGCCTGGTGACTTGAATGTGATCCTTGAAGGCAAGGGAAAAACTGTGTGTGGTAGTAATTTTTATAGTTCCAGAACCCCAATGTCTAGACTCAAAGTAGAGACAGGAGAATCAACTAAAAGCTCAAGGACCAACTAGGCTGGAATCACAGCAACAAAAACAGATTCTGCTGTAAAACAAGGAGACATGACCAACAACCCCAAATCTGCCCACTGATTGCTACACACATGATGTGGCCTGTAAGGGAGACATACATACATGCATAGACACACACAAAAAAATAAATTAACTTTTAAGAGAATTGAAAGCAGGTGTCCAAACAAAATTTCATATACATGAATGGAGATTGCTCTATTCATGATGGTCAAAAGCTGGAAACAGCCCAAATGTCCATCAAGGGATTAATGGATACACAAAATGAGTTAATGTCCACACAGAATAAAATAAACCATAAAAATGAACAACATGGATGGTAACTAAAACAAAAGGCCATAGAACAGAGAACCACTATGTCACATAGATGAACCCTGAAAATATGATGTTAAGTGTAAGGCTCAGTTACAAAGACCACATATTACATATTATATAAATCCATCTCAATGAAATGTCCTGACTAGTCAAGGCCAATAAGACAGAAATCAGACTGAGGATGCCAGTGTTGGGAGTGGGTGAGGGAAGTGACTAAGAATGGAGCTGGGGTTTCCCTCTTCAATGACAAAGAAGTGCTGAAGCCAGATAGTGGTGATTGTTGTATGACACTGTAAACTGACAGCCCTCCATCACCCAGTTGTCTGATGTGGCTAAAGTTGAAGGTCTTCTATGTATATACTACCACAATTAAAGAATTTTAAAACCTAACTTTTGTTTCCTAACTCTAAAGATGAACCTCAGGTCACCCTCAGCCTCCTTGTTTCCTAGCATCAGCTCGTGAACAGTTTTACCTTTTATTCCCACCCAGATACAAAGCAGGCATAACTGGCTTTCTTGACAAAATTAAATGTGCTGTCTGTAAGTGCACAGCTAGGAAGTTGCCACTGTACCAAATAGTACAATTAGTAGGTTGACTGAGCTGTGGGTGATTGCCACCAACTCTCAAGTAGCACCTAGGCAAAAGGAAAGAAGAGTCCAAAGAATGCAAGAAGATGAGGGTGACCACCTGCAAAGCCAATCCCAGGAGGAATTTGGCAGTTATTTCTCACAGCTTGCTTCCTTCACTGAAAAATACCACTGCCACCCAATGCCTCTCCTCTGGGCCAATCCAGCGGCAAGAACGGTCTGTTAATGCAAAGTACCAAAGCTACTCCTTTCTTAGCCATGTTTTGGAACATGAAGAGCTACTGCTCCCACTGGAAAGGCACCAGCGAACAGCTTTCAAAGTAATAGCAGTGTGGAAAACCTTAAGTCATGTAGATTAGACCTCTGCACATGTCATATAAAACCTGAGGTCCTGCTGCCTCCCTACTCTCCTGTACACTGTACTGCCTGAGTCAGAAGTGTCTGTTGGTTAAGTGTCTGTCTACTAAGTCTAGTTCTATACTTTGTATCATGGGAAGTAAAGAAAGGAGGTCCTTATTTCTACAAAAGCAGGAACCAGGTCTATTTTGTTCACTATTGTCTCTCCTATGCTGGTACCTAAGAAGAGCTTACTAAACATACTAGGAAAGGAGAGAGAAGAGGAAGGGGGAGTGGAAAGAGAGACATACTATAAAGTGAGACACCAAGTGCTGGCTTAAGCAGCTTGCCAAAAAAATACGTACTCTCTTGCCCTTGTCACCCCTACTCCAGTCACACACGGATTCCATCAGAGCAAGTCAAGCTGACCACATTCCTGGGGCTCCTCACTAGGCACTGCTGTCAGAGCCCACAGCACATTCCTTTAATTTTCTCCACTGTCTGCAAAGCTTTGTTGTGGACAGGTGAACTTGCCTTTTTGAGATAGCCCAAAGTCAACTGGCATGAGCAAAGATGCTAAAGTTGGAACAGCCCGTAAGTGACAGAGAAATGGCAAGAGTCAATTGGTGGTGTACTTTTAATGCACACGCCTCAGATATGACACCATCAAAATGTGTGGCCTTCCTTTTCTTTGATTATTTCTCCATCCTCACCAAACTTTCAAGATTTTCTCCTTAGTGTGAAAAAGTGCCCTGAACCTATGCATTCCCCTTCTAAGTATACATGCAACAGAGCTGACAATGAGTATTAAAACAAGTATTTGTGTATGCATGATCAAAGCTGTACTGAAAAACTAAAAGATGGACATAGTGCAAATGGCTATGCATGAATGAGCAAATAAAAATGGCACATGCACACACACACTGACACGTTATTAGTCAACCATAAAAAAGAATGTAGGGCCAGAGAGATGTCTCAGTAGGTAAAGGCATCTGTTACCAAGCCTAAAGATCTGAGTTCAATCCCAGGGCCCCGCATGGAAGGACAGACTCAATTCCCACAACTTGTCCTCTAACCTACACACACATATACACAGAATGACAGACAGAAGGATGGACTAGGAGATAAAAGGATGGAGAAAGAGAATTTTATAAAGGAATGTAGTACTGAAATATGCTAGCATATAGATGGACTATGAAACCAATATACTACATGACTATGCCCAGACACTGAAGCCCCAGGGCTGTAGGGTTCCATTTCTATGAAATGTCTGGAATAGGTAAATCCACAGAGACAAGACTGCAGATTGGTAACTGGCAGGAGCTGAGAAGAAGGGGCAATGTGAAACAAACACTTAACTGGTACAAGATTCTCTGTAGGACGATGATAATGTTTCAGAACTAGACAATAGTGGCTGGAATGCTGCAAACGAACTAAAGGCCACTGAACTGATCACTTTGAAATCATTAATTTTATCAATTAATAATCTTACTCCATCAATCTTACTCAACATCTTTTGATGGAAAGCACCCTCCATACCTCATTGTTAAGCACAGAGTCCCTTGTTACCATGTATGGAGTGGCAGCCAGGAGATTTTCTCTAGATCTTAGCATTCTATCATATCCCTCCCGACCAGATAAATCACCAGCTGAGGAACATTAAAGGAGAAAAGCAACAAACAAGCTGTCTTTCACGTGAATCATATCACAGAGGTCCCTGGCATTGAAAAAAAAAATCTGTGCTCTGGTGATCTTAAATGGTCAATGCTAACCCTTTCATCAGTGAAAGGAAAAGAAGTTCCCCTATCTTCTCTAATGCCTCAATCTACACAGTTCCTTCCAATCTGTGTTCTTTTCCACATCAGCTAGATTAGCCGTTGCTTTTTTTTTTTTTTTCTAAAGGGTCAAAGGTAAATTAGTAATCTGGACCCAAGGCAAAGCCTTTCAAAGGTCTCCAGGAGGGTGGGTGTTGGACAGCTCCATGCTCCAGGCCCCACAACAAGGTAGAAAGGGATTACTGTCTGGCCTTTAGCATCCAAAACAGCACAGGAGCTCAATAAATGGATGGGGAGAAGAACAAATAAAGTACTACTATACTCTACCTACCATCTATGAGGTCAGAAGAAATGGGCCTGGCTGGAGTCAGCCTAACTTAAGGGAGTCCACACATAAGCCAGGTCAATCACTGTTTTATGGAACTTGCTACAGGAACTCTGGAAACAGTGATGTTCCTTTTGGGGGCTTAAAAGCGTTCAGTCCTATGCAACAATTCCAGAACAAGAGCCTTGCATACAGTGAGAAAAGCTTAAAGCTATACACAAGGCACAAGCCTGATGCTTACAGAATATGGAAAAGGCTTTGGGGCCTAAGTCCTCCCTGCCTGGGGGACCTGCTGACTTCTGTAAATGCCTGCCTCCACTGAAGGATCATAGCAAGGTCTGAAGCCAGGTTGTTAGAACTTCCCCTAATAACAAGAGCCCTACCACTACATGGAGAAGTGTTGCCCCACTCCCTTGGATCATGACTTCCCCATGAATTGGGAAACACGTCCCTGAATTAAAGATGCCCGCCAGATAGGCAAGAGCACCAGAGTTCAGAAAAGTCTGTAGATTTGGCAACAGCAACAAGCACTTTTTGTTAGGAAAGGGGGTGGTGTCAGTGAGATGTCAATGAGATGTCTCAGGGGGCAAAAGTGCCTGCTGCACAAGCCTGATGACCTAAGTTTGATCTCCTGAAAGCTATCCACTGAAAGTCTCCACATGTGGGCTGTGGCATTCATGCATGCACACACACATATTATACACATACACACATGTTTTAAAAATCTTTTTAGATGTGTGTGGTGGCACACATTTTTAATTCCAGAACTCAGGGGCCAGAGGCAAGTGGATATTATTTAAGAGAAAAGTTCAGACCTCTGAGTTTGAGGCTTGCCTGGTGTACATAGCAAGTTCCAGGCCAAACAGAGCCACATAGTGAGACCCTGTCTCAAAAAAGTTTTTTCTTTTTAAGATTATCTAGGAGATCAGGATGAGTTTGTAGAAAAAAAAAAAAAAAGAGAAGAAGTACTTATTTCTCATTTTGTTTCAGCCATTAAAAAATAGTGTCAGCCAGGTGTGGTGGCACAAGCATTTAAATTCCAGTACTCAAGAGGCAGACGCTGCCAGTCTGGTCTATATAGCAGGTTCCAGAATAGCCAGGACTACATAGAGAGACCCTGTCTCAACCCTCACCCCTAAAGTGTCAACATAAAAGTCCTTTAGAGTTTTAGATAAGAGATCGGGGAAGAAATTCCTCTTCATTTATTCAATAAAGTAGCCAGAGGTATTACCATAGCCCTCCTATCAGACAAGCATGAAAGACAAAGCTTCACGCAATGCCTTCATTGCACTGGCATGCTGTAGAGATACTAGTCCATACTTGGTCCTGGGAATCCAGAGTGCACAGAGCCATGCTGGTATCTAAGACAGAATGTACATGGCTATGCACATGTGGGAAGATGCTACAGATGCTGAATCCTTGGGGCACCTGTGCTAAAGGGAGTATCAGTCATCACTGGCCTACACTGAGTGATTAATGAAAAGAAATCCCTAAGTAACTGTGTCTCGTGATGACCAGATGCTCAAGGAACCAGAGTCAGGGTAAGGAAGTGGAAAAGGAAGCCTCCAGTCCCACAGCCTGTGGGTTAAGGAAGGCTGGAAAGACATATACTTCAGGGACTAGTGAAGATCACTGTCTAGAGGTTGGCTGATCACAACTCAAAACTGTCCTAGGCAACTTGTCATCCTGTTGCCTCTTTGAAGCCTCTACAATATAAAAATCATATTCCTCACCTTTTTTCCCTTCCATGGGAGCCTTTAGTATAGGTTCTCTTACTTTTCCCATTATCATCTACTCATTTACCCTTCCTTCCTTCCTCCCTCCCTCCCTCCCTCTCTCCTTTTCTTCCTTTCTCTCTTTCTTTCTTTTATTCTTTCTGAGACAGGATTTCTCTGTGTAGCCCTGGCTGTCATGGCACTCACTCTGTAGACCAGGTAGAGCTCTACCTGCATCTGCCTCCTGAGTTCTGGGATTAAAGGCGTGTGCCACCACAGCCTGGTAGCAAACCTTTCTTAAGTACGCATGGCTCTACCTGGAAACTGAGTACTGCATCATTGGCAGGTATAGTTGACTAAGCGTGAGTGAGAGGAGGGAACAGACTATTCTACCACAACTGAAGTCACAGCAGTAACTCCCAACTACAGCCTTTATTACTCAGGCAATCTGATGTCACAAAAAAATGGAAGGTTCCAATACCCTGAGATAAAGAAGGAAGTGACCCTAAGTATACTCAAACTAGATTCCTCTCTTTAATCGTCCATCCCACCTGTCCAACTCAGTCAGAGCAACTGCCTACTGGCAGACACAGTACTACCTACTAGAGAGAAAAATCAATGCAGTGGCTTGTGGCCCTGACCATGAGCCTGAACATGACACTTCACTAGAAGGTGGAGGGTGGGGAAGAGACAGGACTGGAGAGGAGGGAAATATTGAAATGCACAGGAAATATCAAAGTTAGCATAGGAGAAAGGACATAAAGAATAAAGCTTCAGGAAGGGTCCCAGAGGCACTTTAATTATAATCAAGGAGATATTACAGAGACAGCAAAATAGAGATAATCTGTTCCCTACCACTGACATTCCATTCATAGCACAGGTCAACATATCTTGCTCTCAGCTAAGAGTATAGCCAGTGTCCCATCAGGAGGCTCGCTCCAGACACCTGGTGGTGAAATGAATCCCTGTAGGATGTGAGGGCCTCACAGGTAGTGATGTGGACACTCACAGCAAGGGACTTTTTAAAGTAGCTAGAAATTTCCAAGACACTGAAAGAATGCTGAAGACGGTGAACACCCTTCGTGGGAGCTGTCTAGACAGTTGTTGAAGACTGGCCCCTCAGTTGAGGAGCCCAAGGCCAACCCTGGGGATTCTGACTACAATTCTGGTCCATGCTTACCACTGAGAAAGCGCTTCATGCTATCGCTGCTGGCCAGCTTCATGGCTGTCTGACCCGAGTAGGTAGCCAGGGTGGGATCAGCTCCATAGGACAGCAAGAGCCAGATGGTTTCCAGGTTGTCATTGACCACAGCATCATGAACTGGCCTGTGAAAGTCATATGGTGTCAGGACTCTAATACTTAAGGGGAACTTTCAGGTTACCATATTAGGGGGAAGGGGAGGGAGATGATAGCATGGTGACCTCAGGGTAATCCCAATGTAACATGGGAAAGAGAGCAGAGGAGCCACATCTGGCCTACAACTCTACATATCATCTCTGTGAAGCTCTTTTTTTCTTCTCTCATGTTCATCCCCACTTTGTGCTCCCCTGCATATTCAGACAGTATCTAGAATACAGTATAGATCTACTGGTACAGTAGTCCCTGGTGGAAGTTGAAATTAAAGATGTGGGTGGCTGTTGAAGAGGACAGACCCAGGTGGCTTCTTAAGGGTGGTGGTGTGAAGGGAGACTCCACACCAGGTATCAGCCAAGCACACAGACTGTACATTTTGATCTGGGTCCTTCTACTTGCTCTGCAGCTCCCCCGGTATCCTTCCTGAAGTAGGATCCTTTGGTAGAACCGAGGGGAACAGGTGCAACTTCTCTAAGACACAGCAAGTACTTAATGTTTGTGTATGTGTGTACATTAATATGTTATTGCATTTGTTTATTCACTGTGCCTGTATGTAGGCATGAATATGTGTGTGGAAGTCAGGAGACAACTTTCAGGAATCCGTTTTCTCCTTCCATGATGTGGAAGCCAAGATTGTTAGGCAAGATTGATGACAAGTGCCTTTACGTACTAGGCCAATCTCATAGAGCCAAGAAGCTAATTTCTTACGTGCATAGATATCAAATTACAAAATCCAAATCTGGACTGTCACCCCAATATTAGTTTTCTGTTTTTATCCTAAGGCATCAATTCCACATGAGATAAGTGGCCCACCAGGATGCTATTCAGGAAGGTTGAGTGGACCTGGCATGAGACAGGATAAACCCTGAACAACCTCAGCTTTTTCTGAGTCCAGCATGGACTGGCCACTGAGGAACTCATCAGCTCCTGCCCCTAAACAGGTTACTTTCAGCCCACCGAAATCCTTTCTAAAGGGTTCCTGGTCAAAGCCTTTTTGCCAACAGCAGCTGAACATGCTGCAAATATCCAGCCTAGAGTAAGACCTCTGGAGTGGAGGACTGAACTGAAGTTTGAGACTTGGCAGAGGAGCAGCTTTCTTGCCTTGTGCCATCCTGTGAGCTGCAGTTCACATTAGCCCCATGTTGCAACAGGATGTTCAGGATATCAGTCCAGCCCCGGGAACAGGCCTCGTGCAGGGCTGTGTAGCCTGCGTTGTCACGATGATTCACGTCCTCGCTATGCTTTTGGAGGCAGTAGAGAACGACGTCCTGTGGGGATGGGGACAGGTCTTTGAGCAAAGAGAGGTCTCATTTTTGGAATCATCCCTGTTAGATTCACCACTCCACAAGTTATGTGCCAAGTCTCATAGCCTGTTCTTTTTATGAGGAAACAAAAGCCACAATTCAAAATCTTCTGTAACCAGTTAGTCCTTAGCCTTCATTACCAGGGCCCCAGCTCTGAGCTGTTCCCTTGGGAGGACTTAGACATTTCTTATAGCTAAGAGTACTCATCTGGGTGGTGATCCCTGGGATGAGGTACTCAGTGAGGATCCCCTGCTGCCCAGAACTCACCTTTCTGAGCTTCATATGACATGGATGGGGAGCTCTGTTCTTGACAGGATCATAAATTCCAGTCACCCCACCAAGCACAATTCAGTTTTGTTTTTTTGCTTTGAGACAGGATCTCATTGTAGCTCAGGCTGCTCTTATACTTCCTATATAGCCAAGGATGATCTTTAATTTTAGAGCCTCCTATCTCTGCCTCCAGAATACTTAGATTATAGGCATGCACCACTCCTCCCAATTTATGCAGTGCTGGGAATTGAGCCCAGGGCTTTGTGCAAAGCAATTTGAGCTATACCTCTAGCGCCACAATACACTTCTATCATTTAGCCTTGGGTAATGCCTACCTTCCTGGGGCTGAGTTGATGAGGTGACAGGACCAGAGATAGAACTCTAAGTTCTCTCGTTAGTATGGGATAAAGCTATGAATAAACTGGGATGGGGGTTGGCAGTGCCACTGGGTGACTGGCTTTCCAGAACATGGTACCCATTACCGTTCTGGTGTCAGAACTCTCAAGGAAGACTGGGAGACAAGATGAGAGGATGGTTGGAGGTAACTTCTGTGTGCCTGGGCTGGGGGTGTTGCTTCTTATACACACAAAGCACCCTACTGCTTTTACTTGAACCTCTTATAATCTCACTAATATAGATGCCCTCTCTTCCCCAGATCAAGTTCCAGCTCTTTTCTCTCCTTCCCCAATGCTCGCTTGTTTGCTGCTTCTGCAGAGACTGGTTTTCGGTGCATCGTCAGGTCCTCCCTGACAGCCATGCAGAAACCATACTAAATACTCAAGAAAGGCGAATTGGCTGCTTGATGGGGACCTCATGAAAGCTGCATACATCAGCCTGTACACTTATAGGTACAGATAGCCTAATAAAGAAGGCAACCTCTGGAGTGCAGGTAAGTCCACATCCACAAGCAAATCCCAACAAAAACATCATGGAAGGGGGGGCAAAGATAAATAGTCAAAGCTATTTGTTTTAACAAACAGCAGAAATTAACATATGCTGGGATACAAAGTAAATAAATTGTAATTAATATAAAAAATAAAAATCTAATTAAAAAAAGAATTAACATATACACCAATACAATAGCCTCAAGTAAATTTCATCAAGATAAATGAGGGAGTCCAATCACTCCTCAGCACTTAGGAATCACAGGACTTGTTTGAACTTAGACAAAAATATTGTCATAAATGATATTGGACACATTTTAGTTAGTTTTTTTTTTCTTGAGATAGTCAGAGGTAGTCTAGGCTGGCTTTGAATTCACTATGTAGCTGAGGCTGGCCTTTAATTGCTGCTTTGCCTACCTCTACCTCCTCGGGATTGGGATGGCCACCTGGTTCACTCCACACACATCTTACCATATCATTTCATACTGCTAAATCTAGGCTTTTCTTTGGAATAAGACCTACCTCAATAGGTTTACTATAATCAAAGTCCTTAATATGATAAAATAAGTGCTCAAGAAATTCTGCTTTTGCCAGGCAGTGGTGGCACACCCCTTTAATCTCAGCACTCAGGAGACAGGGGCAGCTGGTTCTCTGTGATTTCCAGGCAAGCCTGGTCTACAGAGCGAGTCCAGTACAGCCAAGGCTATACAGAGAAACCCTGTCTCAAAAAAAAAAAAAAAAAAAAAAACAAGAAAGAATGAGAGGAAGAGAGAGAGAGAGAACTGCTGGCTTGTCTTCCTATGCATAAGGAAGTAAGTAATACAGGTGGGTTAGCTAGGGCTTTCCTTATTAAACATGTTCTTGACCCTTCTAACTGAAAGCCAAAATGAGCAGAAACTACAGGAGATAAAGTGTGAGCACTAATCACCCCTACACAGGTAATCTAAGACAAAGCAAAAATCCCCAAACCCCCTTCCTAGCCTAGGAATGCAGTGGATGATATACTGTGCTCCCTTTTCAATTGCATTTACCTTGAACTGACATTTCAGTGAGCTTACCTTCCCATATAATGGGCAAGACAGTCTTAGAGGCAATGTGGACAGTAGAGGAAGACCAGACAGACTCAGACCACATAGGAGCCAGTGGTATAGCTGCTCCCTAAGTGCCAGGCCAATGTCATGTTGTCACTGCCTGCTCAGGGAAAGCTTCCTCACCTTATAACCAAGGCGAGCTGCTCGCTGCAGGAGGGTCTCCCCAGCGTTTTTATTCACTATAAGTCTCCGTGCCTCTGGGGGAATTTGCCGGGCCATGGGTGACTCTGAGGCCTCTTCTGGGCCAGCACTTCGGTACTTGGAGGGTGTGCATGGTTCTGTGGACTTCACTGGAGTGGGAGATTTAGAAGACCGTGTCTTCTGCTGGCTCCAACGACCTTTGTTCTGTAAAACAGAAATGAAGTCCTGAGTCATGCCAGGCAACATACATAATTCATCATAGTCATGCCATGTGGCTACCAAAGCCACCTCACTACATCCTGTATGCATGTTGTCCTTTACTGAGAGTATGCCAAGTGGCCAGTCTACTGTTGGCTTGGAGACTGGAGGCTATGCTAGTCACCAGCAGTGTGAAACTATTCTCAAAATAAGGAAAGCTTCTTCTGCATTTCCATGGGTGAATGATAACAGAATCAGATCCTCAGCTCCATAAACCATGGCATAACAGGAGGATTGAGAATTGGATAGACACAGCTCAGCTTCTCTCAAGCACTTGGCATGCATTTTTTACCTGGCCTTAATCTCCATTTGCTGAAGCAGTGTCTATAGACTATGTGAACAAAGAGACACAGAGGCAGCAGTCTGGTTGGTTACAATTCTCAACACCTTCACTCTTACTGTATAGACCTGCCTCCATATCCAACCTCACTGGCCTTCTCCCCATCTTTAATCATACCATAGACTAAGACTATGTTCAGGCCTATCCAGGGGAGTGGACTGTTAGAATCTGGAGCCAGACAGGACTGGGTTTGAAGTTGGCTTCTGCCATCCACTAGTTAAAATATTTGCAGTACGGCCTAACCCTTCCGAGCATTACTTTCTTTCCTTGAGACAACAAACGATTGCAAAGACTATGTATTACAAATGTTCTGAGAGTTCTATCTTCAGAAGTGACCCATATCTCACTACATTGCTTAACCCATATCTCACTACATTGCTTAAGCTGACCTTCAACTCAGGAGTCAAGTAACCCTTCTTTACTTTTGCCACCTAGCTCTCTGGTTAGTTCTTATGTTCCTCAGGGGCACACTCTAAACTGTCACCTCTTTTGCTGCTTATGGCATTGAAGTCAGAGTTGAGTATATTATCTATCACAATTATGGATTACCTTGATTCAAGCTACGCATGTACAAAGCCCTGGGTCATCAGAAAAGTTAGGTAGAAAATCACATAAAGTCAAGAAAAGCACTAACAGACAAAATAAGCAGGTCCAGGAACTCTGTGCCCTCTGAAAATCTCAAGAAGTGTTCATCAGTTTCCATGGCAAAGGGGTAGCGGTACGATCCGTAGCAAGAAATCAACTATGGGGGTATGATACTGTTATAGCCAGGAAAAATGGACAATACAATGGCAGGACTGGAAGACACAGGGCAATGTACCCAGGTTTTTGCTAAGCTAACCCAGGCTCCAAAGGGAAGTTTCTTTCTGAAGACCAGACTGCCAGAGCAGGCAAGAAGGCTGCCTGACAGGGAGAGGAGTGAGAACAAGTATGGGGACCCCGGCCCCTCTCCTTTTCCCCCTGGCTCTGAGCCCTTGTCCAATGCCCTGGTATGTCCCCCATCCTCCCCATGCTTTGTTTCCTACTACATAGCCCCGTGCCATGGAGGTAACTGGAGCAGATAGTGATGACTAGGAGAGAAAGAAAGGTGGGAGGAAGGAAGGGAGGCCCTGGGGAGAGACAAGACCCTCTCCAGGAAAACGTTTCAGCAGACACATTGCCAGACAGAACAACCAGGTAGAAGCATAAGAACACGCTGCTTAGTGTCAAGCTGCTGCTTACCTTTGTGTGGGATGGGGCCATCTGAGTGTCCAGGAAATATGGGAAGGAGGGCAGGGCCCTGGGACCTCTGCCTCTCTTAGAACTGTCCAAAGGCGCCAGTTTTTTTTTTCCTCCCCAGTAACCCATTTCCCAGGAATGTCCCAGAAATGGGCAGAAAGCACCTACCCAGAGACTGCAAGGCACACTGACCACCAGGGTTCCTTCTGAGGCAGACAATTTGTTTCATGTCCTGATTCTGGCAAGCAGGACCACTGAGTCACCTCACACGAGTCCTTTACCTTCCTTACTATAAAATGACTGGAACACAAGTACATATCTCCAAGAAGCACTAAGGAATTAGGAGTGACAACAGGAGAGCTGGGAAGATGGCTCAGTGAGTAAAAGCAATTACCATACTACCATGAGGACCTGAGTTTGAAACCCCAGAACCCATGTAAAAATTTGCACTCGTGACACAAGTGCCTATAAACCCAGCACTCTTTGGGAAGATGGGAGGTGGAGACAGAATCCACGGAAAATTTCATGCCAGCTTGCCCAGTGTATGTAGCAAAAAACAAAAAACAAAAAAAAAAAAACAAAAAAAAAAAAACAAAAAAAAAACCAAAAAACAAAAAACAACAAACAGAAAGTAAAGACCTACACTCAAGGTTGTCCTCTGACCTCTACACTTGTACTATGGTATGAGTCTGCATTTATACACATTAATGTGTGTATATACACAATATAAATACATACATCAAATAAAAAGTGACAACAGGAAAGATGCACTTAGTACAAAGCATGTTTCTGCACTCATCCAGGGGGTCCCTAACTTTCTCATAGTCTATGGGTTGCAGGGAATGGATATCCTGCCATGCCAGGTCACAGTTGTTATGTTGTACCTTTAGTTTTCTCCTTTCTGTCTCTGCCTAAAGTGCAAGGATGCATACCAACCCTCAGAGAACACTTTATGGTTATCAAACCCTATCACAGCCATTGCCTCTTTTGTTCCCCCAAGCACCCTTGTGAGACAGAAAGAGCCCTATTTTTAAAGATGAGCAAATAGACTTGAGTGCTTTGTCTAAGCTGCAACAAGGATTCATGAGGAAGGGGTGGGGAGAAAACAAGCATCTATCATTTGCTAATACCATTCAGGAATTCCTACTTGAAAACTAGACAGAAGGGTAAGATCCATAGCTAACCAAAGCAGCCCAATGTCATCTTTTGATTTTCTGTTGTCAATGACAGATAACTATAATAAGTACACACTGGACCTTCACTTCCTTCAAATGGAAAACTCACCCAACATGAGGACTGTCTTATTTTTCTTTACTGGTACATTGTAGAACCTCACACTAGCACCAGTGTTGTGACCATCAGAACCAAATGAACTGGTGATTTTGAAAAGGGGTCAAAGAACGTTTGCCTGGCTCATTGGTAAGAACCCAATTCATTTGCTGATAGACTTCCTCTAGAGGTAAAAGAACATGGCACAGGGTGGGGAAAGCAGCTAACTTGGAACCTCAAGAAACCTTGGTCTAGATAACAAAATACTGGCTTATACATTCTAGTTTGATTGTCTCAGAGAGCTCTGTAACTGGTTTCTGGTGTGTTAAGTTCAGACAAAAGCTTCTGGAATAGATGCTAACAATCTGTTCAGGCTAGCACACTGCCATAGTCTTTCACTCAAAGGAGATACAAGGATGGTTTGGGGAAAGAACTCAGTCAGGGGTTAAACCCTATAGTTAACTACAACTTTAGTTTCCACTCTTCAAAACTGCCACAACCCTTAAAGAATATGTTCATACACACCAGTCAATCTCCCCTGTCTACTTGCTTCCTTCACCCTCACTGAGCAAATTACTGCCAGTGGGACCTGGCAGAAAACCTGCCTCTCTAGCTCATGTCGTTCATCCTGACCCCTTCGGTAGCCACATACCTTTGCCTCTTCTGAGACATTTGCCATGTGCTTGGTTTTGCACTTTCGTTTTCCTGATGGCTTTTCTGAATTTTCAAGGCAGGCTGGCTCCTCCAAGTTATTTGGAAGGAAACCATTTGGTGAGTCCGAGATCCCCTGGGCTTTGCTGGACAAGAGAAGATTCCTGTTCCGGAGGCAATGTTCTGAACTTTGGGAAGAAGTCTTCTGCTTATGGGCCTTTGAATCTAAACAAGAAAAAGGAAAGAATGTTGGAGAAATGGAACACCATTCTTTAGTGCTTCACTGTACAAATCTCTCTTCTATCTGCAGGAGACAGTTTCCAGCCCTGCCAGCAGGGGGCAGCTCATCTAGCTGGCCCCCCAAATGTAAGCCATTTTAAAAGGATCTCCCCATAGCGCAGGGCAAACAAGACTCTCTTTTCAGCTTTTTCTTCATCCCTTTTCTTTCTCCAAAATAAAAACCAATTGAGCAGTTTTGCTGAAATATCAAGTACAGTGGGATTTAAGTACAAAGTAGAACCTTTGTTCTCCCCACCTCTGGCTTCCCTGTTAGTCACTGTCTGAAGGCACTAAGATCAATACAACAGAAATTCCCCCAATCCAGTATGGGCCTGCTTAACTTATGTGTAATGTCATAAAGATACTGTTTTCCTTGACTGGAAATCAAGTCATTGGTATCACTGGTACATGGCAATAACATGTGTCTGGAATTGTAATTTTGAAAGGTCTACTGCAAACTCCACTAGCAAAAGCCTCACACCATAGGGTCTACCCTAAATCTCTGTGTAGATGACATAAACTATTCACTTGTATCTATTAGCAATAGACAGGCATGGCTTGTATATGTGGATGTATACATATGTAGTTGTATGTGAGTGTAGGTGCTGTAATGAGGAGCTACAGAGGCCAACATCAGGTGTCAGTCCTCTCTTTCCACCTTGTATGGAGGCAGGGTCTCTCTTGTGTGTTGTTGTACTATCAGCCTTGAGCTCAACTTGTAGCGAATGGCTCTGACTTTCTGATTCTCCTGCCTCCACTTATAGTCCACCCCAGCCAGTTTATGCGGTACTGGGAATTAAACCCAAGACTTTGTGCATTGGACATAAATATCTTAACCAGCTAAAAACTGCATTTTTTATCCCTCGCTTACCATTAACTATGGTAATGGGGTAGAAACAACCCTAATCTCTTTGAACCTCGGCTTTTCATCTGTAAATGGGAAGAATATAATTCAAGTCCCAGAAATGATAGCAGAATTAACTGAGGTTATACAAACAAAATGTTCTATAAAGTGTTGTAAAGATTAAGACATCAATATTATATGACTTCAGTGCAAGGTCTATAGGTACAAGGTATCTCTCTTAGAAGATGGAACACCAAGCCTAGCACACAACAGATCAATAAGGCTATGAAGTAACTGCAACCTCAGTTTCTACCACTTGTGAAATAAAGGAGTCAAGATCCCAGAGTTCTCAACTCACACCCCCCCCAACTTGAAATGGACTCTTATATGTGAAATTGCCAAGGACAGATGCAAGTACAGGAGTCCTCATTCAAGACAGGAGAATTGACTGGGGGTGGTGGCACAAGCCTTTAATCCCAGCACTTTGGAGGCAAACAGAGTTCCAGGACAGCAAGGGCTATGTAGAGAGAGCCTATCTCAAAAACAACAATAACATCAACAATGAAAAAGAATTGGAGAATTGGCTGTAGCTTATGTATATAAGAAAGAAGCCCTAGCTATTATACTATCCCTTCCACTCTGTGGATTAGTAGGTCCTCACAGTGTGTCCAAGAAATGCTGTGCTATGTGGTCTCAAATGACACTTCCAGCAAGAACAGTCTAATTTCAGGACTTTCTTCCCTTGATTTTTTTTAATTAAAATTTTTTTCAGACAATATATTTTGATGTTTTTCCCACCAATTCTTCCCAGATCCTTTCTACCTCCTTATGTACCCAATTTCATTATGTTCTTTCCCTCTCTCTCCAAAAAACCGAAGCACAACAATCAAAACCAATAAAAAAAAAAAAACTGTAAGCAAAAAAGCCCACAAACAAACAAACAAGCAAACATGGAGCTTATTTTGTGTTACCCAACTAATGATTGGTATGGGGCCTGCCCTGGAGTGTGGTTGATATACCCAGTGACAAAACTGATTGCACAAAACTGATTTTCACTTTTCTAGCAGGTTTCTTTTTTCCCATTTTTTTCTGAGACAGGGTTTCTCTGTGTACTCAGAGAAGGAGAATGATCTACTTTTCAAGAGTCTGGGCCCCAAAACAAGCAAGATACATTGATCACTGGTGTTCTCCATGTTACTCTAAATGTTCTAGCTAAGGCTGGCTAAGCCCCTATTCTGAATTATGAATGCTGTGGCAACTTATCTCTCTACATTACGTATTGGGTAGCAAATGGGACGAGGCAACTCCAAAGAGGTCCTTCTCATTGAAAGAGCTGATAACTCAAGCTGGAAGCTGTAGCTTATGCTTTTAATCCTAGCACTTAGGAGGCAGAGACAGTCAGGCTCTTTGAGTTCAAGGTTAGCCGATTCTTCATATTTTAGGACAGCCAAGGCTATATAACAGAGAGACCCTGTCTCATAAAAAGAAGAAGAGGAGGAGGAAGAAGAAAAAGAAAGAGATGATAACTCTATGAGAAGCTCCCAAGCTAGAAAAGCAGCCTTCATTAGGGAGGACTGAGTGATACAAAAACTTCTCGGCATCCTAACAAGAGGCAGAGGCCAGTGGTTTGACAACTCATTCATGACCAATCCTTTACATTTCCAGCAAAAGAAGGTGAAAATTGTCTCACTTGTTCAGAGAGTTGATGAAAATGAGCTCAATTACTCTCAAGTGCAGGAATATGTATCACCTACAGCTCCACTTGAACAGAGTAAGAAATGAGGTTAAGCCTTCTTTGCATTATAGCATACCCTGGATCACCTGCCTACTCAATGTGAGTTTCTTCTGTTTTGGCTAATAAGAAGACTATACATATTTATCAGCTGCTCAGAATGAGTATACTGTAAGAGACAATCGACTGTTTCACGGGGAGAGGTCAGAGAATAAGGAGAGATAAATATGTTCCTCTGGAATCCTGAGATGGGCTTTTGGCTCAATTGGAAATCCACTATGGGAAAGGACCTTAATGTAGTATACTGGGATGAGCAAGTTTCTTGCAACAGTCTATCCCTCCATGATCATATTTCAAGCATTTGACACAGCCATAGAAGGTTTTCTTTCTGAACTGCCTCCTTTCACAGCTCAGGAACAACAAATGCTATGCCACCTATGTCACCTCAAAACTTTGACTCGTAAAAGCTCCCATGGCTTCAGCTCAGGAAGCAGAGTTTTACATATTCAAGTATTTGTTGTTGTTGTTGCCTTTAGAGCTACTACATTTCTTTCTAGGTTGTGAGCAGAGGTATCCCAGGTATGGAAGCCAATGCCCTCCTTCTTTGTTTTGAGACAGGGTCTCACTATGTAACCAGGCTGTTTTCAAACTCAATGTCCTCTTTCTTCAACCTCCTGGGTGCTTAGATGACAGCTTTATACCATCACATATGGCTCCTCTTACTTTTTAAACCCAGTATTACAAAAGAGAGAACCTATATTCTACAAAGACTTGACTCCTTCAAGCTAACCAGACAGAACTCCCTAGTATGACACTGGCCCATGCAGGAATGTCACCATGGTTTGGACCATAGGTTCAGATGTCTATAACAACAACAAAAAAAGCAACAAGGGTCTCCAAGTCCTCAGTTCACCTCTAAGCTAGTCTGAGTTCATTCCTTCTCAATTCAAAGCCACATACTTAAGGTGGATATGAGTGACCCCCTTGTAACAGTTGAAGACCATAGCACCAGGTTCCTATCAGTCCTAAGGCTTTCAGCTGGTGAACAGGTGGTATGAATGCCACCATGCCTAAAGTTTCCCAGACATCACGACAGAACAGCAGCCCCATGGGCTGCCTTACCTGCTTTCCCTTTCCGCCGCTGCTCTTCTTCTTGTTCTGTCAGGTACTCTCCTGTCTGGTATTTCCGGCTCTTCTGTCGTCTCCGTTTCTTTCTCTTCACCAGGCCATCTTCCTCATCATCTTCTTCCTCTTCATTGGTATCCCACATTTGCTGGGCAGCCTCTGTCCTCCAGGGCATCTCTCGGGCTCGCCACAGATGTCTGCGGCCTTGGCTCAGCAGGGTCTTGTCCTGGGCATGATGGCTGCGGTACTGGGTGTCCCTCTGGGTCTTTCTCACCTTTCTCCTCTTAGCTGGGGTAGGAGCCACCTCCTCTTCTTCCTCTGTAGGGAAGACCTCCTGGCTTCCCATGTCACTGTCTGCCATACCAGTGAAGGAGCTACAGATGCTTCCTATGCATGAGATACACAGAAAACATTGAGGTCCTTCTTTGAGGGATTAAATACAGTATTGACATAACTGTCTTGGAGTAGGAATTTGTAGAATTGGGTTCAAGATCAGGCTTTTGCCAGTTATTAGTGGTACAGTTATCTCAAAGGACTATTCTGGTGCTCAAAAGAAGTCTTACTCTTAAGTACTTACTTTAAAGAGTCCCGAATACCATAAAATTATGAAGTACTAAAAACTTATCCTTATTCATCCATGATGCAGTGTTAACTTGAATTCAACACATAAACCCTCCCTGAGTGTTTTTCAGGAGCCAAGCATTACATAAAGGGCAGGAGAGAGCCACGGTTCTCTGCTGTTTGGAGGGCAATGGGGTAAGGAAGCCTGGTATTACAACCTAGGCCCTAATAACTCTTTGATACCACCAATATAGCCAACACACCTACTCTGGCCAAACAGAATCATCACAAAAGAGTGTCTCTGACAGAGAAGCAAGGAGTCCCTTTCAAATATGAGGCAGCCTGACTCAGGTAGGTCCTAGTGGAAAACAGTGGGCCCTCTTGCATTAAACTGATCCCACCTCCTACAGAGTTACCAGAAGTTCAAGGGTAGAGTTTTCTCTCTAGCCTGTCTGCCCATCCACTGCAGCTATTTCCTACCTGCTGGAAAAGCATACCCTCTCTACTTCTGATCAACCCCAAACAAACAGCATCTTTCTTGTTCTCCTGGGTCACCAAGAGGCTATTTTCTCTCTCCCCACTTACCCTTAACTCTAACAATAAAAGCACAATCCTAAATTGCCCTGATTTTACACTACAGAAGATCTACCAGCTTCCTTAGCAGTAACACTGCTATGTTTCTCCCAAAGCCCAGCTGTTAACCCAACAATTTCTAAACCCCAGTAGGGTCAGCAGAAGAAAAAAAATGATTAGAGGGGAAAAAAAGACACCCTTGACCAAAGCTTCAAGTTGGTTACAATGCTTAAAGACAGCAACTATCCCACTAAACTTTGTACTATACAGACGAGGCAGGAACACAGTGTTCTAGTTAATCTAATATTCTGGTTAATACAGGATTACCATAGAGATCATGCAGAAATTTCCAAAGAATCAAATATAGCACAATGTATTTAACACAAAAATGGGACTGGCCACAATGTAATCACTCTCTGATGATTCAGAGGATACTTCAGGACTTTTTGAGGCCTCCAGGCCACCATTGTAAGCCCCAATTACTATAAGGCTCGCCATGTGCTAGGGTGAAAGTTAACAGGATGTAATATCGTTGACTTTTCATTGGGCCATGCTTCTCTATTCCTTCCGATTTGCATGGAAATCTGGGTGAATGCAGGCAACCATCTCTGTCCTATGTACCAACAAAGAGCCAGCAGAAAAGAGCACAGCTGTAAACAACTGTCATCTTTAGATCTAAACCAATACAAGTTCTGTGGACCAAAAGCAATTGTGCTTGCCCAGACAGCAAATGATCCTTCCAATTCTGGTAATGCCTGTCACATAGGGTGATAAGATTAAAACCTAAAGGTTGAATGTTTTTACTTGAGATGGGCCCCAATGATCATGAGATACAAAACTTTGGAGCACAAATTTCCTGAGTGGCAGGGGCCTTTCTTCTTTCTGTCATTGGCTCTCAACAAGAGATGATGTCAAATCCCTAATCTAACATAGTTAAGCAAACTGTCCTAAAATTCTGAGTGATCCCTCTGCCCTGACCCAAGATTCTGTTGTCTCTTCAAAGTTCCTGTCATTTTGGCACAGGGAAGCAAAATCCCAACTGTCTACTTGCACCAACATCAAAATCATTCATGCCACATGTCTACTTTTTCAAAGATGCCAGTGCAAGTTCTTACTCTTACTTAGTCATACTCACCAGACTGACTGCGTGTTCGAGTGCTCAGAACCACAGGGATGAAGTCACGGAAACTGCTTTTTGCTTTCTTTTCCAAAGAACCTGGAGTGATGTGTGGTTTAGGGGCAGAAGGCAGAAATATCATGATTAGAAATCTATAAACCAGAAAGCCCACACTGGATGTTCAAATGAGAAAGGCAAAAGGCTAGTGCTGACCCTGCAGTTATCCTGGTTTAACACAATTGACTCTCCTTATGCCACTACCACTACCTATCTGTTTTTGGGAATGGTGGTGGTTTTTGAAAACTGGTGGCTGAGTTATTTTTGCTGACACTAATAAAGGCAATATACATAATCAGTTCAACAGCATGCCCCAAAGTACAATCTCTGCCTATATAATGCAGAGGTTGTTTTATGCTCATCAAGTTCTA